TGTTCATTTGTCCACACCCCCCATGATTAATGTTCATTTGTTACCACTAACACAACTAGAAATACCAATGAAGTCCGATGTTTCAAATATTCTATTTCTACCACATTAGCTTTAACCATATTTAACTTAACTTAAGGTTTCATTGAAAATGAGTTTGAAGCCTCAAGTTCAAATTAGGGCTTCAAACTTTTATTTTTTTAATTTTTCAATACACTTTTAGTAAATGGAAATTAATAAGAATTCATTAAATAAATAAGTTTAAACGATAATAATTCATCAAATAAAAATTTGCATCAATAAAACTTCTACTCCCTCTCTCTCATAAACTGTTCAAAGATGAGAAAAAAGTAACCCCAAAAATGTGCGATATTGCTCATTTATAACAAGGTAGGACGTGATGTGTAAAATAAATGAGTCATGATTAGACTATATATATTTACACACACACAAACACACATGATCAAATGAGAATAGTGCATAATGAAAAAAATGAGAATGCATATGATCTACTCCCTCCGTCCCGCAAAAAAGTTCCTCTTTCGTTTTTTTTCGTCCCAAAAAAAAGTTCCCATTTATTATTAAAAGTCAATTATACCCTTACAAACCCAAACCCTAACAAAACTAACCTAGCCCACCCCCACCCGTTAGAATCTTCTCTCTCCTCCTCTTCGCCTCTTCCAATTCCCAGACTCTCTCATCTTCTCCCTTCCTCTTCTCTCAGATCTAACCTCTATCTCTCTTCTCCTCCTCTCTGAATCGATGAAAAATCGCGACCCTACAATGCCCTCGTTTCAATTACTGAGCGACACTGACGAGGAAACATTGTTTCCTCGTCAAAAATCACCTTCACCCACAATTTCAAAGAGGAAGGATGAGGAGACCTGGGGATCTGGCTTCGATGATGGTGGATCTGACTCCTCTGAGACGGATCCAACTTGGAGTTTCCGTAAAAAGCATTTAGGGGGGGGGGTTATTACTCTGACCCTGAAAGGAGTTACGAATCAGAGGATGGAGAAGAAGACTCTGAATCTGTGACATCTGCACAGATTTTGGAGATGTCTGAGGATGAGCTTAATTTCTCAGAATGTACTTCAGACCCAGCTAAGCAAAATCGTTTCAAATCAAGTAAGATGTATCTACTTTGATTTGCTTGCATGCGGAAATTTTTATTTTTTTTGGCAAACTCATGATGCAAACTTGATTAATTCTGAAAAGAGTTCAGAATATATGTGGTTTTTGCTGTAATGTCACCACTTTCATGTAGGAGACTTACAGAAACCACATTTATGGTGGTATGGTCTTTGCTGTTTTTGGTCTACCTGTGTTTTAAAGCGTGAAAGGAAATGTATTTTATGGTGATTTAAGTCGTGCTTTTTGATTCTTTGATTCTGTGGTTCTGTGGTTCTGTTGTTCTTTGTTTCTCTTCTTCTAGTTAAGGACTGATACTACACCTCTTCTACTTAAGGACAGATACTCCACTTCTTTTTAACAAAAGACAGATAATACACTTCAGATACTACACTTCATACTGACAAAATTACAACCCAGCAAAAATCAAAAAGCAAAAAACAGGCAAGTGGTAGTACTTTGAGATTTGTACCCTGACCAAACTGCCTGGTGACCTAAAGTTAGATGCTACACTGATTACATTTGTACATTGACTTGGGAGTACAAGAGAATATTGTAATTTTCCCATGCCCTATTGTACATACAAAAAAGAACTTCCAAAAAAGTTCACATTTGTTCCTCCAGAAAATGTTTTGCCTGTTCATAAACTTCTTGGGTGACCCCTACATTGTCTGGCAGCCTTCCTTCCCTAGCTAACATTGCTTTCCCAATGTGAGGTATTTTGAAATTGTTGCCACCTCTGTTCTTAAGAACCTCACCCATAACTCCTTGCAATGTTAGGAAAACATTATTCAACTTCTCATGTGGGATATCCTGGAATGCTGTGGTTACAGCATTTATCAATTCACTTAAGTTTCTAGGGACTGATTGATCTTGAATACTGTCAATTGACCTAAAGAAACCCAGATCAAGTACATTTAAATCTGGGCTATTGGGTGGCTGAAATTTCAGTTCAATGTTCCAATCTCCATCTTCTGCAGCTGCTAGAAACTCTGGATTATTTCCTTCCACATGTGGTTTGGCATTATCTTGCTGAATGATAACATGTTTAGTTGGTCCTGGCCATTTTTTCTTGATTGCTGGCAGAAGTTTTTGAATCAAAATATTTTTCATGACCACCCTGTCTATAACTGGCACTGCCTTAACTTCAAGTGTTCCTGTTGGCCTATTTTTAGAAGCCCTTTTTGCTTCAGCAAGATAGGTGAAGGGGAAAATGCCAATTTTCCCATCCCACAGCAGACCCCCATCAGCCCCATACCTAGGCCTACCCACTGCTGCTAAAAACATTATTTTTGGTATGTGTGTTTTGGATTGGATTGTTCTGTGGGTCTTCTTCCTCTGGCAGTGCATAAAAGGTGGCCTTTTCCTTTGTGATATTGAACCATTTCTCATCAATATGAATATAATCATAAAAATTGTGAAATGTTGGGTCCAATGGAAGTGATGAGGGAGAAATATGGTCCAAACAAAAGCTAAGTCTTTTTAGCTTACCTGGGTCTGACAAATATGGCTTGATTGCATTAGAATGTCTCCTTATGGTCTTCCTTTTTAACCATCTCTGGACAGTTGATTTGGATACTTCCATTGCATAGCCAAGGGCACGTATGTTCTTGCGCCTATGAAATGGAACTGCCAACATCTTTGGAATGTCAACAGGCACTTCTTTTCTGCCAGAGTTCCCTTTCCTTTTGCATTGAACACAAACTGGTAGACCATCCCGCATTTGACCACCAGCTGAAGACCATATTTTCTCTACTGTTTTTCTGGAAATGTAGAACTCTCCAGCAACTGCTTTAATGCAACCATGCTGAAGTTTGCCGTGCTTATAAGACTGTAGTAACCTATCGACTATTCTTCGTCTTCTTTCGCTTTGTTTTTCTCGTGAATGTGCTGTGTTTTCCTCTGAATCTGTAGGGGTTTCAAGGTTGAGAAAGGGGACTTGGAGAAGTGGAGGGTGGGGCTGGTTCTCACTGGCAGAATCATCACCGGATTCCGGTGGGACTTGCTCATCAAAAGACAAAAATGAAGAAGAAAACTCCATAAAGAAGAGAAGAAACAAAAGAAGAAAGCATTGAATGCATGGAATGCATTCAATGCTTTCTATTTATAGAAGTAGTGCTATTTTTGGGTTTTGTTGTAATTGGAGGGAAATGAAAAATTTCCCAAAAAATTTTCCCTCCTGCATGGACTTAAGCATTTAAATGTAATTTGTAGTGAATAGTGGTGTAATGATTGTGTTGATTAGATATGTTTCCTTCCCCTTATTTAATTAAAAAAAGTACACCCACTTTCCTTACACTTTTCTCCTTTTTTCATTTAGGGGGTGTGGGGGGGGGGGGGGGGGG